ACGTGGAGGTCCGTGAGAAAGGAAATCATCAGCAGGAACACAACCGATCTGAGACTACCAGGGAAACAAAGGCGAGCGAGGACCGCTGAATCCCAAACCTAGGAGGATGGGTCACTGACGATGAGTGATATGGATCTCAAGTCTGTGAACGCACTCAAACTCCGTCAACGCGCGCAAGCAAGTGAAGCGGTGATGGCCACGTCTGAGGCAGTAAAAAGTTTGTATACAATCTGCTGGATTGGGTTGAAGAACTCCTTGCATTGCAACATAGTAAAATCAAATTGATTAAGCCCGATATATTTTTCTATATTCTTTATAAGGTGCTCCAAAAAATATTTAACTCACTGTGCAGCGCAGGCTTGCCGTGCCAAAGACACCTTCCAGAAGCACATCGATGGTGTCCTCCAGAAGATCAGCAAGCTTCGATCCTTGGTGGCGGACTTGCAAAAGAACTATGTCGCAGAGGGAGCGCCCCATTTGTGCCTTCTCAGAAACAATGAATATGGCGAAGACGGTCATAGCCCAAATATACAACATTTAACCTTTGTGCTTTTGCGATCTTCCAGGTCCATCAAAGCTATCAATGTGGACTTGGAGGCCCTTGACAAGGACTATACCATACTGAGTGATCACATGGCCAAGGGTGAGAGGGACAACTTCAATGAAGCGTAGCTGGGACCTTTTTTGGTTGCATGGGTATGGTACTGTTGGCATGCAGTGCCAGTTTTTAGGGCAATGCAGGGATGCTTGATCTGTTCACCGCAAACGCAGCATTCTCTACAGCCCTTTAGTTAGGACAAACAAGTTTTGTCTTGGGACTTGTGCGAAGATGGTGTTTGTTTCGATCATCAGCAAAAGAACCCAGGTGGAACAAGGAGACTGAAGCTGTGATGAAGGCTTCGACTTTCACGTGCCTAGATTGCAACCTTCAAAACCGTCTAGGATCAACCAACCTGTTAAGCTTCCTAGTGTGCCACCTTCGCTTGACCAAAGTTATCACTTCATGAACATCAGGTGTTCCAAGATCCTGCAGAATGAGGCCAAGATTCGGCTCGGCGCTCAAGTACTTAACTGCCTCCACAGCACCAATTGCATGTTCCTGAGTTAAGCATCTTCATGAATACAAACCTGTCTTGGACCCAGGAGTGCCAAACGACACTTCCCGAAATTGGTCAAGGAAGAGCCTGTCAAGTAGTGAGGGCCAAATCTTTTCCCAGTTTTGAGGGGATGTCAGGTCTGAAAGGACCTGCTTGCGTACATTATCTGTCTGCCGGGAAGTGGGGTTCCAGTAGGCTTTGCATCCCAGTGGTAAATCCGTGTTAAACTTTTGCTAAAGCTCTGATGGTGCTGATTGAAAACCTGTTGATGGGCTTTGTGTTGTTGGCACTATGTATGGCGGGATGCGGAGGGCCTCTGATGAAGATAAACTTAGCATCTCTGATTTGAAGCATTTAGCTTTGGCGCAAAAGGACAACAACCTTGCTATCTTTTTGGTGTACTCACCCTGGGAGATGATTGGGCTTGATATATTGGAGGATGTACTTCTTGCCCTAAATACTTCCTGGAGAAGGAAACAGTGTTCCGTGGGTGTGCCAGGTACAGCTGGAGCAACTTCGAAGCGCTTTGCTGCCAACGTTGGCCAAGGAGCCGCAAACTCAGACATACTCGTACCATTGCACCGTAGCCATCGCCACTCTTGGGACTCTTGGCGGCTCCCTGTGTCTACATTACATTCCAACACTTTGGACTGCAGGGTGCAGCAATCCTATTCGCTGACTGTTTATTAATTTCTGGTCCTAATCCTGAGTGCCCCAAACAAAAAACAAATTTAAACACATTCACTATTGATGCTGCTTTGGTGACAGCCAACTGTACGATTGCATGGAACTTTGCCATGGTAATTGCTGAAAGCTCGTGCTAAAGCACCTGGAACCTGGAACTGCAAATCGGACATGTAGTTTGAATTGTCCTGCAGCACCTGCTCACGTTCTACGTCATGCTTCTCTTGTTGAACTAGTTTGATAGGGCTGCCACAATCTTGGTTGATGCGCCCATAGCATCACAACCCCTTCCTTGGTGGTCTTAATCAGTGGTTGCTCGCTATGAACCTCCATTTTGGGATTGATTTTGGCATCCCATACAATCGAAAAAAAGCTAACATGGTCAAAAGTCAAAGACTCATGTAATATAATGTTTGTTTGGATTGATCGAAGCAATCGACCCCTGGCTACAGATCGATTAGGGTGAGGTTGGGTCTTCATTTCTGGGATGCCATGAGTCAGTGTGCATGCGTGTGCACACACACACACGGTGAGTTTGTCAACATTCTACAAGTGTGTAGGTTATCTCTTACACCTCCAAGGTATTCGATGCAAGAACATCTGGGCAGGTTGGGGCAGTTGATCCTTGAGGGATTTTATAACATTCAATCGTACAGGAAGCTACAGAGATCAATAGCACTATCAAGGTTAATGTGACTAGACATTCTGGAAGAGTGAGCTTGTGCGAAGACAAGTTGATTCCTTAGCGTTATCCATAAAACGTTCCTTGCAGTGCCCCGTTGCTTGCTGTGTTTAGTGTGCAGTGCTTGAGCGCCAGTCACCACCCCTGGTAAAGTAGGCGAGCGTATCTGCTTACCACGTCAAAGGTTCAATCCCTGGCGTTGGGCAATTCTGGTCTTCCGAGGCCAGCTGCAAGAGCCAGATCCTGACAGCGAAGGCTGTTGTTGAGGATGTTGGAGACGTTCCGGCAGCCAAGTGCGGGATGGATCATTGGTCCAACTGCTCACTGAAAAATTCAGAGCGAGATGCTCAGAAGGTGATGACAATTCAAAAGTCAAAGTTGGATGTTCCTGTAAGCCATCTTGTTTTCAATGGTACATCGATCCCATGGATTGATCCCCGGGATTGGGCCCGATGGATTCTGAGAATGGGTCTTTGGCCTACCCTTTCAGGGGCACCACGCAATGACTATGTTTCATCTGAGGGGATTTGGAGACAATTTTGGAAGCAGTACAGGGAGCTATGCCCAGACTTCTCTTTATTCAGGATGGAGGGTATAGATCTTGCGAAGACTGCTGGCATTTGTCTTCATGGCGATGAAGGGACAAGCCTCAAGCGTCAGGGAATAATGGTGTGCAATTGGCAAAGCATTCTTGGTCGAGGTTTTGACGACAAACGGGTGCCCAGGGTGGATGACCGAGGCGTGTGGCAAATGAGGGTAAACTTCACAGTGCATACGCACACGCACCGGCTGCTACTTGTGTGCATGCCCAAGAAGTTGTATGAGGCCGACTCCTCCGTTTTCCATTTTGTGATGGAACAGATTTCATTGGCATTCAAAGACTTGCTTACCTCTGGGATTCAAGATCCAGTGACAAAAGAAGTTCTCAGATTCGCTGTGATTTGTGCCAAAGGGGATGCTCCATTCCTGAGCAAGCTGGGGACCTTGTTCCGGTCATTCAATTCATTTGCGAAACGCGGTGATGCGCGCCGCCCCCCCAAAGGGAGTATGCCATCGATGCTTAGCTGGCACGACTGGCTTTCCAGCTGAGGAGCTTTCAACGAGGCACCCACGCTGGCTAGACACCAGGGGCGTCAAAATGCCTTGGGTTCAAACCCCAGCAGTGATCCTACACTTGCCGCATGATGAACATGACCCAAGTTCCTTCTTCGCCTCAGACTGTTTTCACATTTTTCATCTTGGTGTTGGCAAATCCTGGATTTCTTCGGTGGTGATGTTACTTCTTGAAGTCTTGCCTGGATCGAATATCGATGCACAGTATGATTACTTGTCAAGCAGCTACCTTCACTGGTGCAAAAGAAACAAGCAGCAATCGCATGTGCATGCGTTGACGCAACACCTGATGAGTCACAATGACTACACAGGTCTGACAGGAAACTGGCACAAGGGGGCTCTCACGACCAGCCTGATGCGTTTTTTGACAGACTTCATCCCGCAGCTTCAGGTGGACCAAAGACAGTTGTTGCCCGAGTGCCTGCAAGCAAGCAAGGCTGTTAACCAGATGTATTCTGTTATGTTCCGCGCTGCTGCATTTTTGACAAAGGAAGAGTGTACAAAGGTGGCTGACGCTGGTTTTCTTTTCCTGGCTACGTATGCCAAGATGGCATTGATCCAGTACCATGTGGGCAAACCTCATGCGTTTCCACTCTACCCGAAACTCCACGCACTGGCAGAAATCCTTTGCACAGTCCACTATGACTCTTTGAGAGTGGGTTATGCTCTAAATCCCATTTGTCACTCATGTCAAATGGATGAGGATTCGACTGGAAGGACAGCACGATTGTCTCGGCATGTGAACTCACGCAGAGTGATGGCACGAACCATCGATCGGTGGTTGGTGGGTGCATGCGCAGCCTTCAGAGATGCCGGACTTATCATTTAGGCCAGGAAAAAGGCGTGCTGGATGGGAGAGTTGCACAGGATTATATTGTGTGAACACAAGAGTTGTAGATTTGAACATTCTGAAAACCTATGTTTTTTAAGAAAACCTGTCTTTTCTCCTCCGACTGAAAAAAAGCAGGTGGCTGAGGCCGTAGGTATATATAATTCCAAAAAACTTGCACACCAAACGAGCCAGAAGAAACGATTGGACATTTGACTACGGTTGGGTTGGAGTGCACCATCACTTGTGGCATGATGTCCCATGAGTCGCAGTGGGGTGGCAGTGGTGTGTCAAGCTTGGTACTTGGGGGAGCTCAGTTTGGACAATGGCAAGATCATTGGGAGTGGAGAACCAGGTTCCATGGCACACCAACTGGTGACACACCAATGAGAGTCGCTCAGCGTTTAGCGGACGAAGCTCGCTTTCTTGGCCCCAACGGGGTTTCACAACGATTCCCGGATTCGGGGTTTCACAAGGCAAAGAAAAGCGCAAAACAATTTACAACGTTTGAGAATTGTTTCTGCCTTGGATTTGAAGAATGACACGTTTTCGCCTTTGCCCTTGAAGTCCACCCAACCACACCGATGTGAAAAAGGCAAAAGCCCGGATCATCGTGAAAGAGACCTTCACCGCACCCACACAAGACAGGCTGGTTCTGAGTGTCGGCTGGAGCCAGGCGGGAACCATAATGGTTATACCAAGTTCCCGACGACCTTTGCCTTTTTTTAAATAGAAGACATGTAAAAAATAACCAAACATGTAGTAAAATACGTTCCTCTACAAACCGGTGCCTGGCTGGAAGCACCACAATAATAAAGTGGTCCAGGAGCAGGAATCTCCTTCGAACAGGTGTGTCATGTCCAATCATGATTGCTTTATTGCATTCTCTCTTGGGCAGTATGATGTGATGCTGTAGCAATTGAGGATTGTACCTTGATTGGCGAAAGGTTGCCGACTGCTTCAGTTGGCCAGTTTTTGTATTGCCAACCTCTTGGAAAGTATGTACAACACAGATACATCAAATTGAATGTCAAGTCCAGACAAATGGCGTTTCCTTTGTTTAATGTCAACCCCGCATAAAGAACCCCCCACGCAACGTGGAAGGTCAACAAAGTGCTCAAGGTCAGAGGTGCAACATGTCATTCCACTGCCCCTAATAAATTGGCTAGCATGCCCCTGTTCTTTCATATGCGATTGAAGCCCTTTCACTTAAAATCGAAGCTAACTCTTTCATGTTCAATGAATACTTGTTATTTTTTTTGTGAGAATGAGGAAGTTGCTTGTGCCATTGACATGCTGCACGCAACGAAGTTTTTGCTAATAGGACATCCCGGACGAAAAGACAGCAACGAAATGACACGCTACAAGAAAGGCCTGAGACAAAGGCGACAAAAGATTTAACATTGGAATTAACACAATTCAGGCGTATGTAATTAAACTGACCAGCCTTTGTGGGGGGTGCTTTTTGTGAGCTTGTTTGTCAGACGATTGATTTGTGTAAAGAACTTAGGAACTCAGAAAAGACTGAGAAACATCTTCTCTATTTAGAATTTAGAAGTAAGAAAGTTGTGATTCGTGCTTGGCTCAGACTAATTAGCGATGTTTTGCAAAGATTCATGCTTGTCCAGCGGTGAACATTATGGTGTTTAAGGCTCAGAATTTAAGGTTTCTAAGGGGTGGATCTGTGATGCGGTTAAACACATATATAATCAATCCTGCCAGACCGTGCAGACTCGACTCACTTGTTGCCTGACCCGGACCGTCCACTAGACCGGATCTCAGTGCAGCAGGCAGCCTTCTAAGGCCATCTTGTCAGAGCTTCCAGCACTTTCCGTATGAAGTTGTTTATATATTAACCCTATTCCCCGCAGCGGAGACAAATTCAACGGACTCTTTCCTCCAGACCCCACTCTGGAGCCGGTGGTTTGCCTTTCTCCCACAGTTGCTCCATGATTTGCCAGTTGAAGGCAGTACACGGTTTGCCAACACCAAGTGATGCAGGGTCTTCAGCTCCTTTGACATCAATCGCGATGAGCCAGGGAAGCCCAGTGGACTTTTCCGTATCCGATGGTATCCCAGAGGCAATGACCATATAGCGAGTCCATCCAATTGGATGCTGGGCACCAATGACCATATAGTTGGATTCCAAGAGTCTGAAAGAACTTCTCGGACACTGGATTTCAGTGACACTGAGGCAGGAACCATCCACCCTTTAAAGATTTTTTTAAAAGGAAACTTGTTCAACCATTATTTGACACCAGTGTTGTTGGCAGTGCTAACTTTGTGTGCTCTCCGCTCGATTCTGAAGGTTCCTCAGGGTTTGCCGTTGTTGCTCCCAGGAGCGCGATGCTCCCAAACTTGCTTTGCGATCTGCTCACGTGGTCAATGTGTTGCGCCCTGCAGTGCGAGTCACAGAGCTTTCCATCGCACCGAAGTTCCTCGCGGCCTTGCTTCGTTTCGTTGAAGAACCGAATCCAGCTTCGCAAGCGGCAGAGTCCGACAGAGGCAGAGGAATCCTTTGAAATCACCCTGACCCCAAACGAACTGGTTGCGATGGCCACTGGTCTGATACTCATGGGTCATTTTCATGCAATGGCATGCAATGGCCACGTTGCGGGGTAATTCAAGAATGCATCGCCTTCGCGGGGCTCAGAAAGTGGGATGCTTGTAGCCCAAGCATGCCCAAGCGGGACGAGCGATGGCCAGCAGGGGTCTCAAGATGCCAAATCCGATGTCAGTCTTGGCCTGAAATCAGCTTGAGAGGCACTTTGATTGCTGCCAAATGGGAAAGATGAGTCGGAGTGGACTTGACACCGTTTGGGATGATGAAGGCTCCTGAATGGATGATTGATATCGCCATCGCAGAGACGCTTGGGGGTGAGATTCCCTAAGAGGGGACATGTGTGACCCAAGGCTAGCCTTGGCGGTGGATGCAATTTGTGTTTGCTCCTCACATATATCAGAACAATTCCGAACATATTTGAAGTCAGGATCCCGGAAGGGACATGCCAGCCTTGTATACAGGGACCTTAGGCGGAAAGGTCCAGACGGCAAACTGACTAAAGTGTTTGTCACGAAAGCTAGCATGCTAGCTGAGTTCTTCTTTGCTTTAGCAATGTTGTGGTGGGAGGGGCTGCGTGCCTTAAAGATTGATATATCAAGCTAACCCCCCCCCCCCGCGGTTCAACTCCCAGCTGCGCCGTGTAGGGGGTTGGTTGAACGTGTGAACGTGGTTGGTTGGGTGCAACGGTGGCTTGGTGTAAAGGGTGCTGCTGCTGCTGCCGCTCTGCTGCTTGCTGCTGCTGTTTGCTGCTGCCGCTGGTTGCCGCTTTTGTAGCTGCTGCTTTGCTACTTGTTGCGGCTTGGTGCTGCTGCTGCTGTTGCTGACGACGCCGCTGCTACTGCTGCTTGCTGCTTGCTGCTTGCTGCTGCTGCTTGCTGCTTGCTGCCGGTGGTGCTTGCTGCCGGTGGTGCTGCTGCTGCTGCGGCTTGATGCTGCGCTGCTGCTGCGTGGTGCTGCTGGCTGGCTGCTGGTTGGTGGTTGCTGCTGGCTGCTGGCTGCAGGCGGCTGCTGCTGCTGCTGGCTGCTGCTTGCTGCATAGGACTTGTACTTCACCGTTACAAGTTGTTTACCCCTATTTCTAACCTAATGCATGCATAAGCGGGTGGTAAATTTACCCCCCAGGCTTGCTATAACCATACACCGGCTATTTCCTCAAGACACTCTATTCTTGATACCTTTTACCAGTGCTTATCCTACACTACGGACGCCCTAGTGTATGCACAGTCCTTGTGATGCTTACCCCTCGTTCCGGCTCAAGGCATACATAAGCGGGGGGGTAAATTTACCCCCCAGATTTGCCATAACCATAAGCCGGCTATTTCCTCAAGACACTCTACTCCTTCTACCTTTTACCCGTGCTTATCCTACACTACGGACGCCCTAGTGTATGCACAGTCCTTGTGATGCCAGAAATGCTTACCCCTCTTTCCAGCGCAAGGCATACATAAGCGGGGGGTAAATTTACCCCCCAGATTTGCAATAACCATACACCGGCTATTTCCTCAAGACACTCTATTCCATATACCTTTTACCCGTGCTTCTCCTACACTACGGACGCCCTAGTGTATGTACAGTCCGTATGATGTCAGAAATGCTTACCCCTCTTTCCGACTCAAGGCATACAAAAGCGGAGGGTAAATTTACCCCCCAGATTTGCCGATCACGCATCTTCGTGCCTGCCAACGAGTGCACCCGGGTTGTTCCAATGTACCCTTCCCAGTCAGCGATGTCACATTTACATTCTTTAGCGCAAAGTATGTACATAGCAACCTTCCTCCCAAAACATGTCATCCCTACATGCTTTGCCGACTATGTAACTAGTACATCCGGTGCGATTCGGCTAGCTTTCGACCTCTCCCCCTGGCCTCAAGTAGAGTATTAGACCTTGTTACACAAGCGGTTTTTCATAAGTTTTTGGGGTATGTTCAACAAGGAGCTCAACAGCCTGAGGAAGCGTTTGTGCATGTTTGCACTTGAAGAATTGTTTATTGGTGCAACATATATAACATATAAAGGAACATAAAGGATGCCATTGCGGGAGCAAAACCAATTCATTTTGGATCCAGACGCTCCAAAATGACCTGCAAAGTATGGACTAGTGACTGGTGTATACTTAACCACATTGACCCCTTTTCAACCACCCCAAGGCCTGATCAGTGCCATATCAGCGGGACCTGTGTGACGCTTGTGTGGCGAGCCAAAGTCATCGGTTTACCGCAGGTTGCCTACTTGACTCACCGAGGAACTCGCTGGAACCACTAGGGCAGCATGGTGAACCTGCAGGGGATTCTGTTCCCCTGGGGTGTGACGATGGACGATGCAGACCATTCCCACGCTTGGCCAGCGTCACATGCCATTGCAGCATCCTTTTCGGACCTGGACAATTTGTTTTGCTGGCAGATGTCCCGCAAGTTTGCAAGGAGTTGACAATTTGTTGAGGTTAAAGAAGGATCTGGAAGGATTGAGACGATGTTATCGCATCATCAACTGTTCTGTTGCTCAGATTGAGAAAGCTTTGCAACCTCAGTCTTGTAGCAAGATGTAGCAAAGGACACCCCAGCTCCTTTTCGTCAGATGACTCATACGATGATCTTGAATGCACAGGGACAATCACAAGAAGCAGCAAGGACGCTACTAGGGGCTCCTGGCCTTACTACCAGGAGCAAGAAGCTACTAGGGGCTCCTGGCCTTACTACCAGGAGCAAGGACGCTATAGGCTTTGGTTGACTTGTTTGGTTCGTTTGGTAGGGTCAGAGTCGGTCTCCTGACGCTAAGTGGTGTTTTAACTTGATCAACAGTAGGTCGTGTCATGTCCACTGTCCACCTGACCTTACACCTGGCCTTTTTGCACGTTTGCTCAAAGGTTATAGCAACCCATGTTGATCCAGTTTGCCTTTCAAACAATCACAGTTCCATGACCTCGGATGACCTCGGTGAGGGATTTCTCAGTTCCCTCCTTTTGTCGTCCATGTCGATGGGTTTCCTCAGGTTGAGTACGTCAGAGGATCGCTTCTCGCACGCGCCCCTCGAAGTACTTTCAGGGGAGGGTCCGCAGGTCCACGGCGCCGATCGATCGCTTCAGGCTCCTGGGGCGGAACTGTGGGTATGTTTCATGCTAAAAGGGCACTGTGTGGAACGCGGTGAAGATGAATCGCCGATACCTTGTGAATCCTCTAAAACGAGGGACAGTCCAATGTCCGCCCTCAATCTAGGACAATGTCCAGGCCATCCATATGTGGAATACTTTGAGTAGTTTGATATAGTTACATACATCCAAAATTACCTCAAGACATGTTTTTTTTGAATTCCCCCGTGTAAGTAACTCTAGTAGTAACATGTAGTAACTATATTATTCCATACATGGATGGTCTGACAGAGGGGTGTCTTGAACACCGGGGTGCTGGAGGAACTACCGGACTCCAAGTCCCTAGGGGCCATTGGCCCAGTCGTGCTGACGAAGGAATTGAGCGTGGTGGGACACTTGGTGCTAAGTGGGTTGACTCTATAGAAGAACCGCCCAAATCTTTGCTTGAAGGAAAACATTCTGCACATATAGCATCATATAGCCATGATTTGCAGTTGGTCCTTTACGCCAGTCTGAGGAGATGAGCAACCCTGGAGACTCTTCGACTCTTCCACTCGGACATCGCAAAATTGCTTTAAGGGAAGATCTATAGGAACGCCCGAATCGTTTTGGAGGTGAAACGCATTGATTTCCTATGGAGGTGAACATCCCTTGAGAAAAAGCGCCAAGGCTCCGCACCGCCATCTGCGATGTGCCCTTGGGGGAGCTCAGGGCAGCAGACGAGGAGGGACTCTCAGGGACTCGCGAGAGCCTTGAGCGTTCGAAACAGGAAACGCATTGAATAAAACAATAGACTCAGGGATCCACGGGTTTGAGTCATTGCATTCCAACCACGAAGGTTTGGTTTGGTACCTATTTGTCCCCGGATTTGCAGTGGTAACTGGATACACTGCGCATTGGGTGAACTAGCCCGATTAAGAGCTCCAACCGGGTATTGAAGTTAAAGTGGACCCTCCCAAGAAGTCTTCATGTAGTAATTGTCACACGGAATTGAATACATGAGGCATCGAACACACACTTGAGAAAATGCGTACTGACTCGAAAGCGGTTGCCACACGCCAGCCTAAGTGAAAAAACCTAAGAGGCCAGGTAAGTGAAAAACGGTAATCCTCCAATGCCTCCGAAAACAAGTTCAAGTTCAGGTCCCAAGCTCACGAAAGTTCCAGGGTGAATCGCCGATGCACTAGCCCTTTACAACAGCAAGACGGAATGCAGAAACAACATATTGGACAGCTTTTGCCATACTTAGTTTTTCAAAAGCAGGTACACCAGGTTGATCAGACCTGGCTTCCACTATCACGCATAGCTTCGTTGGCATGCGTTTGCGTGATAGCCGCATGCCCCCTGCTATCACTCAAAAAAGATCAAACAAGTACAAATCCAAATCCACAGGGATCCCTGTGATTCCAAGGGTGACACACACACACACGCACATGAGATCAAGTGAGGCATGATAACCCGTGCTTCTTCATTGCTATGGGTGTTAATATGTGATCCACAATCCCACACCAGCTGACGCACCGATCCACCGTTCTCATGCGGGCAGAGGGGAACTGTTTCCTACTTCGAGGTGATGACGGATGGCTGGTCCACCGTCAGAGGGGGCATCATGTGGCCTCACATGATCAGCAGTCAAAATTAAATAAGTCAAAACATTCCAGCAACAAGTTGAAGAGAGGTTAATGTATGATCAGTTCTTGAAAACTAATTCTCATGCATGAAAGCATGCGACAGCTCAGGAAAGCTTTCCACCGTGTTTTTGCACAGAATGTCGCCGCCGAAAGCCAAAACGCAAGCCGCGAAAGTGTTGCAAACGGAACTAGTGAAAGAAGAGCTCATTACTGTAGAACAATTGTCCATAGGTTTTGAACAACCCTCACATCGGCATCCAGCTCTAGCTCAAAGCCAGTGCAGTACGACTTGACAGGCTGGAACTCACGAGCCGTGCTCACCACATGTATTCACTCTTGACCAACACCAAGGTCGCTTGGATTCAACAGACAAATTTTCAGGGAGGAACGATGTTTGTGCAGCCTGTGGTTTCCGTTAGGTTTCGTTGTGAAGAACCACTGGACGCCTATTTATACTGCACAACTTTGATTGTCGATCATGGTTTTAACAGGCAGCACGTCAAAACAAAAAAAATCCATTCCCTTTGAGACACATCGCTCCAACAAACCCAACTCCCCCCGGACCACTTTCTTCACTTCGAGGGAGATCCACCATGCCTGGATCTTTTCTTGTCTTGCAGGCTGGATGAGGGCAGCCTGCGCGATGGTCCAAGAATTCAACCAGCTTCGAGATTTGGCTGGCTCTTTTGAGGTTCCCTTATCTGTTCGTATTCGGACATCACCCTAAATTAACATCCAGTCCTTTTGTCAAGAAGGTTCGTGTTGTTTGTCTTTGTATACTTTTGGTGGGTACAAAGACCACATACCTCTCGCCAGCATCAGATATTCCAAAATTAATGAGATTAACGTGTTGCTACTTCTTGCCCGTTTTTCAAACACTCCTAGGTCCTAGGATGTTCCTGGACTCCCTATAAATATATATATATACTAGATCACTGGTCCACACTGGTGGCGGTATAACATGTGCACGTCCCAGGGGGCTATGGCCTGTTTGGGTAACAACGTATCTTTGTGACTGCAACAGGGTTATTGGGCCAAAGATAACAAAGTCTCTTTGCAACAACTGGTTCTGTGCCAACCGTAGGGGTATCTATCTACTGTGAGTCTTGAGCCACGTTAGTTCCAGGCAAAGATGGACACACTCAGGTTCTTCCCGGAGCTCATGGGGTTTTGAGTCGGCCAGCTGGGAACCTCGCGGCGATCTGGCGGTGTGGCGGATCAAACGAGCTCTTTGGATCAAAAGAGCCGTCAGCCACACTGCCTACCTGGGCTGAAGGTGAAACTTGGATGAACACATTACACCCTTTAAATCTATTTACTGTATATGAATCTATTTAATATACTTGATGATTTATTTTACTGTGTACAATAATAGACTATATATATCGTTTAATATTGACTTGAACCAACAGCAGCATGTCCGATAGAGGATCCAAGAGAGCCTTGTTGGTTGACACTTGGTTGCTTGCAGAGATAAACACCTTGCTGCGCTCAGTTCGCCCAGGAATAATAGGTTGGGTGGCTTTTTTTCCCCACCAAGTGGAGGAGCCAGCACGACCGCTGGTGTGAGGCCACCGGCGGTGACCGGGTAGAAAAAACAGTGAGAGAAAGAAGGGATGGGTGGCTTACGTTTTTGCGAGATTTGGTACTGTTGTTGTCTTTGGCCAGACTTCTTGATCGTCTCCTCATGGGCGAACGGAGCCTCGTTTGATGATGAATACGGGTCAATTGGACATCGGTTGATGATTTTGGGGAATCCTCTCACACAACAGGCCGACTCCAGATATCCAGTTTCCTCCCTCCTATTCTCCTGGCCGCCAATATGGTATCCGTAGGTTTATGATTGGAAGGTTCGCACAAGAAGTTATGCCATGTCATGGAAACAAACTAACAAGGGGTCTACGCTCCAATAACCCTTATTAGTTTGACTATGTGTCTGGCAATCTTTGTATTGATGTCCCTCCATTGAGTGAACCCAATCGGCAATGGACTGAAGGGATCGGCTTAAGAGTTTCTATTCACGGAAGGATGAGCCTGTTTGGCCACCATTGTGTATAGCCAGCAGGGTGGCCAACTCTCATAATTGTTCAACACCAGTGTGGTGGTTTTTTGGGCGGGTTTTAGCAAAACAAACAAACATGTTTGGGGGTTCTAGACTAACCACAAGCCACATAAACTTTCTTTTGGGAAGGCTTTGAATTTCGCCTGGCTTGCTTTAAGCCGATTAGTATACTCTCCTGGTTTTCTCGTTGGCAAGCAGGTCTGGACCAATTGGCCTGAAGAGTCGGACATGTGGTTCATCCACTTCACACTTCAAGATGGTCCAAACATGTGCAAATGCATCCCATGTGTCCCAACAGCCACAAGAAGACGCTTCGACCAACGCATCGGTTCGTGGCCAACACGATCGTCCGAACGCTTGTCCGGACGCCACCATGGCGCTGGTGCCTGCGGACAACTCGTGGGGTCCCCAGACGAGGCGGTCGGAGGCCCGCTGGAGCGACAACAGGCGCGGTCGGAAATGGATTGGAATTCCAGATAGAAACGAGCCCGTTTTGGTTTAGAAAGGTCTTGCAACGTCATCCACTATATAGTATATGACCATACCGGACCATACCATATACAAAGAGAATCAAAGAGAGAGGTTTGAAGCGATGAAACCCTGAGCAAGAATCCTCAGGTCTGCCAAACCCTGAGCTGCTCGCTCTACAGAAGTGACCTTCTCCCCAAAGTTGTAGACCCTGAGAGCCGAGGGATGCAGACCTCAGCGACGCCGTTTTTCAGGTCAGTCACATGGTGTTTTCTTTAAGAAGCGCGTTTTTCACAACAACGAAAAACCCAGCGGGGCCCGGAGTTCCTGGTCGGGGCCCGGTGGGACACCGGTGGGCCCCTCCAAGGTTTGACGTAGCTTCAAACCCTCGAGGCCGAAGGCCGTGTCAGAACAGCTGCTGAGGTTTCTCTCCTTGCTGAACGTCGAGAGAAAGCAAGCACTCGATAGACAGAAGAAGCGAGAGGAGATTTGGGTGTGTCTCATTACCAGCAATAGTCGGTTAAAGATTTTGTCATAATCACCGAAAATGGAAGGGCAAACAAAAACAATCATCGTCCATTGCGCCTTTGTACCAAATGGATCCAAGTGGGACGATATATGCAACAAACAGGCAGCGATCGTTCGTCGGTTTGGAACGGGTCGCGGGTGTACCGGAACCCGGAACCCGGTACCGCCCGGGTTCCCCGCGTCGATGGTACTATTTATGTACATCTATGCACCTATTTTGATCTTTCATGTCTGGTTGTTTTTGGATGATGCAGTTTTTGTTGCCCTGGAGTGTGGACTAGATTCATCGCTTGTCGACGGCTACAGTTTGCTTCTGGCCATGTCGCACCTGTCCATTAAACAATAGACTCCAACATGTAGAGTCCAGTGACGCTCAACCGAAAACAAACCTACGTCGTGGTGCTTGGAGTTCCGGTCCATTTTTTTTGCGGTGCGTTTGCACAAACATTTGGCTCAAAAAGCTTTGGTGAAAGCGAGTTGAGCCGAGCCGTGAGGACTTGCTGGAAGATACAGAGCATGGGCCAAAGATCCTGGGCCTTCATCAAGATCTCCAGGACTGGTCCAGCCGGTTCGGTCTCAGCTCACCTTTCTGGGACCGGTCCATGGAAGGTGGGAAGTGAAACACTGACTTCTTTGAGGTGATGCTGTGACTTCTGGGGTATGTTTTGGGCAATTTCCATCGTTTTGAGAGGACATGTAGTCACTTAGTCTTGGCTACATCAGTGAACAGTTGTTGTTCTTTTGGCTGTCACAGCAACAGACTAGCACATCATATGGCATCACTCTCTTCAAGGAAGAGGAACCCAATCTGTTGACTCTTGAATTGTGTAATGAAACAAAAAAGGAACAGGCATTAGCGGCATTAGCTCACAATTGCTAAAGCATAGAAATGAGATGAAATGAGTCATCATGAGAGCCCCAAAGCTTTCATTTGGTCACAACATCTTATCTTGTCACATCATACATACATGAATGAAGCATCCACAGGTTTTGCATGGATCGAGGGTCCAGGTCAAAGGCAAATTCTCAGAAGTTTTCGATCGGGGCCTATTTGGAGACAGAAGAAACGCCCATGGGGTCATTGTACCGTTTGTCCGGCTACTTTTCCATACTTTTCCTGTGGTAAGTTTGTGCGTCTCAACATGGGCAATTTTCGGAAAATGGCAGAGTTTTTGCAGATAATTACGGAGTTATAATGAGTATATAATGAGTCTAATGAGTTACCTATGGAGTTACAGTATATACAATGGTCCTATCGTTTTTTTCCCTGATAGCTTAGCTCCTCCGCTCCGCCAGGCTTTATCTGATGTGCTTGACGAACGAGTCGAAAGCAAGCTCAGTGCCAACGAGAAGGCGGAGCTTGACCGACTGGTCGCTCCAGCGATGCCAAGGGACTGGTCGGACGACGCAAACACACAGCGAGAGATCGGAGCGCCCTGGACAGAGTCCTGTAGAGATTATGTACTTTATTGTAGAGCCTAGGCCTGGGAGCATGCGATGTTACATGTTACTTTATGTTGCAAAAGGCACGGCCTGGCGTTGTTGGGGAAGCTGGACGATACATATTTTTTGCGGGGGTAGGCAAAAAGAAGATTGGCAGTAGCTTTGATGGTTGGAATGCCGATCCATATTTACTGCAGCTCTGCGCATGCTTTGTGCTTTGCCGCCCATCCAAAGTGCAACAGCGTCATGAAGTGTGTCATATGGTTGATTGAGTGGTGCAGGCAGTGCAGGGTGTTGCATGCAATTCATGCCTGTGTAACTGTTGCTCCATCAGTAGAGGGTCAGAACTCACCAGAATGCCCAGAACTCTCACTCACCCTGGTAGCTTGTAGGTCGTCTAGTCTGTTCCTTTTCGCTGGGTTTGCCCTCCGACCGGTCTCCCGGGGCCGTCGCCGTCGCCGCTCGGATGGACGGACGGTGATCCCTCCGTGGTTGGTCTCTACCCTCCGTGGGACCGTGGATGGTCTTCTAATGTCCTCGTTCGAACGTGCATTTTGACTCTATCAAATGCCCTCATGGGAACTCCCTCATTCTATTATAGAAAGTAAGCCTTATTCTCATGTTCTCTTGCACAACATGGGGATTGTTTGACATCTTTAGCCTTGCGAAGGCGTGTTCCAAAGTCTTCACAGCTTCAGGGTAGTATGATCACACTCATTTTTGTCAGTTATACCAAGAAGTGGCATATGCCTACTACATTGACGGCTGAAAAACCACCCCAATGCAGGTAAATATGCCATACATGGAGACATGGAGTGCCTGGGATAGGTGTAGCTGAGAGCTGTTCATGGGAGCAGAACAGGGCCTCCAGCTCATCTGATGCCCGCTTCAAAATCATCAAGATGTGGCCATACAACCCGCAAGTTGTTGACGATACTCATCTACAAATTATATTATATATATATATAGATGTGAACTACTGGGGCACTGACATGACATGACCAATACTTTAACTTAACTTGGTCCGTGCATTGCAGAATTGGATGACTGCAGGGCTGGTCCCTACCCGTTGAGGATGAGTTGGAGAGCAATCATGCTCGGGCTTCAAACTCCCAAAGGGATGCCTGGATCTGACTTTGGAGTCATCTTTGTGAGACCCTGTCAACGATGCCTTCATGCTAGGCCTTCTTCGTGGCCTATAAGAGCTTCATGCTTCGTGGCTGTTTGGGTGCGTCTGTTGAAGCATATGAGGGTCTGGGTTGAAACAACACACCTCAAACCCAAAGCATGCTATGTGAACATGTGCCGGATAAATAGACAAAAAACACAAAACATGGGAGTGTCAGAGTGTAGAAGGGTCCACCACGATGTGAAACAAAAAATAACATGTTCCCAGCATTGTTGTATGCCGCTATAGGTCATGTAAATGTAAACAACCTTGATCCAACCCACATGTAATGCAGTTTCCAGGGACAGATGTGAGGGACCCGGTTTTGTGCATGATCGACGTAGCAACTTCATCGTTTGTTGTGCCAGTTGTGTATGTGTGTGTGTGAGTTACTTGTGTTTGTGCGTGCTGTTATTGCTTTTTGTATTTCTTGCTTAATGTGTGTTCATAGTTTTGCTTCTTTGATTTTTTTGCTTTTGCCTGTGCTTACTCTTGTTGGTGGTGGTGATTCTTGCGAACAGACCTGGACTGTGGCATCGTGGACTGGTGACATCTCTGTGTTTGTTGTTAGCAGTCCTATGGTACTACTAATGAGGGGGTTGTAGAAAGAACATGGACAAACTCAGAGATGATGGTATTTCAACAGTTATTTTTGTGTGCCTCGTTGTTTGTTTGTGTGATGTTCATTCTCAGGTTCACAGTGCAGAAAGAGTTTAAAGAGCTCAAGCAGAAGGTGCTGGGAAGATCAGTATCATTCCGCGAACCAGGAGGTGCTCGTCAGCTTACATTATATATCATTATATTTGGTGTGGTGCTCGTCGCCTGGAAATCCTCAAGAAGTCCAATACAAGACATGTTGTCAGGGTACATCCACCTGTCAGTTATTTCCTTCATTCAAACCTGGAGAACTGTGTCTTAACGACTCAACACACTTGTCGTTCATTCAGAGAACCTCGGATCAAGTGTCGTTCCCAGTCCTCTGACTTCCGGTTTGACTTGAACGATAATGCGACTGCGAAGCGTTGTCCAGTTGAAGATACTGGTGCTTGTATAATATATATATACAATGTATATAAATAAACAGAATTATACATAATATACAGAGGCAGGAGTGTTGCAAGAGACGTTCTACCCTTGTCAAAGCAGCGACAAACATTTGATCCACATGTCCTTCTTTCTATGACAAACATAATAGATCTCACGGTGGGATTGCATAGGCTGGACAGGTGGGTCAAGGTATATGATTTCACAATAACCCATAAGATCCCATAAGCGTTTGTCATTGTTTGTATTTTTGTCCAGAGGATTTGTGGATTTCATGCCCAAAGACAGGCCTTTTGTTGTGCGTTAAGCTGATTTGCCTTGCCTTTTTGATTGTAAACCTTCACGCTAGTGTGTTGAGATTGGGACCTTTTGTTGCAGAAGGAATGGATAAACTACGCATGTTTTATTTGAAGATCTTTGTGTGTGCAATGTCTACCATTCCACGTTGGGCAAACAGTTGTTCGACGTTGGGAAACAAAGATGAGTGTCAAAGCTGCAGAGGAGTCTCTTAGTGACAAGAGTTCTAGAGTTCAATGTGAAAGTTGGTTGATCCAAAAGGGCAACTTATTCATTCTCTTGTATTCTATCGTGGCAAATGAGGTGAAACCATTCATTCCACGTTCCATGGATATCCGTGTCTCACACTGTGCAGAGGTCGTGTTTTTCCCGTCAGGCTGACGAGGAGGAGACCAAGACGAGAAGAGATGCAAAGATCCAGTCACTGGAGAAGGAGAGGATTTACAAGAACTGGCAGAGTTGTTGTTTGTTCTGATCCTCCCAAAGAGACAGGAATAGAACGTGTTCTATAATTATTATGTTCTATAGTTCTATACTAGTTCTATATGATGTGTTTTCAGAGTTCATTGTTTTTTTTTCATGAGGCGACTTGCTGTTCCAGTTGTTTTGAGGTGACATTGCTTTTTGTTTTGGAGGATGATAGAACTGATACACTCCAAAACCTATCATGTTAACCTGGAACATATGTTTTCTATTCTCCTTGGGAAGAAGAACACTTTGGGGCTTCTTTCTGGCAGCCAGCCTCATGGACTGAGTTTGTTTCTTGAGAGCAGTAGTGGAGTAGTTGTTCTGAGCTATGCCAAGTTGCAGAAGTTGGAAGAATGGGATTGTCAATGACATTCTTTTTAATGTAGGCTCTTGATCCATCAAGCCCTCCCCCCATTTGGATTGCAAAACCTCTTCACGTCACATGGGGAGTTCTATTAATCAAGAGTCTTTCTTTATTTTTGACATAAAAATGTCCTTCACTGACTAGGGCTGGACTAAGAATACGGAGATCATTGACAAACTCATCATACAGTTTAGGGAGGCAACCAGTATTTCAGTATTGCTACATATTGACCCAGTTTTAATAGAGGGCGGGGGACTGTGGGCGTCCCATTTTTTCTCATTTCATAGGTCTTTTTTGTGTAAGGTCATCAGCTCATCTCAACAAACATCTCAACAGACCTGATTGTTCAAAAAATATATCATAAACAAAGTCGCAAAAAAAGAGGACAAGGTCTATTCATACAATTCATAATTATTCATATCAAAAAATGTTGTTATGTTATTTTGTTCACGACAAAACCAATCAATATTCATTCATGGAACGTATAGATATGAAGATTGTCCTCTGAATAACTCTGTCATATATATATATATATGTATTTTTTTTGACAAAGATGCTTTTGGTGCCTTACTCTTACCTTTGCCTTTTTACTTTGCAATGTCAATTTCATCTTCAAGTTTATCTATTCTTTCCTTTTCCATAAGGCTGCTGTCATTCTACCGTAACTGACCCATATTATGTACCTTATTTCTATCTCCTTCATGTAGCATTTCCTTACCTTAATCTTTTTCACTAACTAACTGCATTCTGCTTCAACATTTCTATTTGCTATTTAGAAACTGATACCGTTTATTTTTTCATGGTGCTAATTCTAATGGTGTAAGTTCAGAGGTTGAATATATGAGATATGACTACGTGAATTCTGTTTTAAACATTGTTGCAGGTATTGCTTTTTCTGGTGGTTTGATTTCTAATATTTATAATACTGCAGATAATGTAAATCTGCTAATACAAAGGAATGGAGTAGATTACATAACCCTAACTAAATTAGATATAATTGATTTAGAGAAGCAAACATATATAAAAGCAAATGGTTTAGCGCTAACCATTGAAGATACTGTAGATGGATACTTTAAAATTGGTGATGGTAAAAGTATTGATTGTTGGACTGGAGGAGTAGGTCAAGAGATGCAGTTGAACTATATTTCTAAAAGCGGTGTAAGGATGGGCAATACTGCTGGTTATTTAGCAATCAGTGGATTAAGGAATGGAACAGATATACTAAATTATCAATGGTGCTATTCAAATACGTCCTGCGGGTCGAGAGGGGGGGGGGGCCCGGGGGGGCCCCAGCAAGGGGGGGGTCGGCCAAAAAAAGAACAGCAACAAAACATGTTTTGTTGCTTTCTTTGTTTTTCGTCCGACCCCCCCCAAACCTGCTAGTCTTAGTTATATTTAATAGTTTTTAAACACAATTTGATTGGTTTGTTTGACATATAGAATGTACATGTTGTTTTCCTATATGTCTTGAAAAGATGTGTTTAATATGTGTTTACTAATTATTTTGTTGTGCTATGTGTTCTGGGTACTGTTTTTGTTTTGCTGAATGTCTGTGTTTTCACTATATCTTTAGTTCTTTTAAATCACGATTTTGTCGTGTTTTCGGGAGGCCTGTGGTCCCCTGTTCTGTTTTAATATAGGATTATTCTGAGGTAAAAAAAATGGGCTGTTCTAGCAAGGAGAGAAACTGTGATGACCCCAACCTTGCCATTGCGGATGTCCTAATTGCTCACCATCGCTGAACACATTTCAGATGTCCTAACTACTGTAAATCTCGAGAAACCATCTTCCTTGGAACGTTGAGGGTGAACTGCATTTGGGCAGAGAAGACTTTCTGTGTCACCAAACTATCACAGTCGCATATTACAACTCAACTCGTTCAAACATCACGAAAGGTAGCTTGAGCTACCTGAGTTCTCCTTGCTTTAGCAAAAATGTATTGCAATCAGGAGTTGGGATTGTGCATTGAGTTTGAGTTTGGTCCTGTAAGAGTTGATTCTGTTCGTCGGGGGGGGTGCCCCACGGCCCCCCCCCCCCTGGATCAAATCCCCCCTGCGCCGGTTCAGGCCGTCATGGACTTCTAGCAGGGTTACTTGTGATTGCCTGCTACCTTTCGTTCACCCCCGGCCCCTCCTCTCTCAAGTTATCTTCAGCATGAGGAGCTGGACTGGTTCATGAACGAGGCAGGGATGGGCAGGCAACTTGCCCCAACATGTCCTGCGTTTGTTCGCCGAAATTAAGACATCTAGCAACCTCAACCTCATCTCCTTGTCTTTGATGGTGAACTAGGAGCTAGGATCTTCCAGGGTGGTGCTTTCAAGGCGTTGTGACATTGACAGAGGCCTACTCATCACCGAGAGTGATTGTGTGATGATGAGTGAGTGTCAGGTCAGAGTGAAGTTAAGTATTTTCATGGAACATATGACATGGGTGTGTATTCTTTAGGGAGACCCCCAACCAATGGGTTTTTGGTCTTTGGCGTTTCATGCAAGCGTCGCCTGCCATGGTCACCCTCAGCTTTGCGTAAGGTGAACATAAATTAGATCCTCAGCATCGTGCAAAATGGAAAATGCTAACTGCCATATGGTTCATCCGTGTGGCGAACCTTCACTCCCGGCCGCCAGGCCGCCTTCAAATTATAAGTGGAACGCCTTCCTTGATGGAAGTACTCCCATAAAGCTGTACAAACCTCATGTCTGTTCGGAACAACGAACTGCCCACTAATGTAAGTGGTAGCGCTAAGGTAACCCAAGCGTCGAAGACCGCCTCGGGTGCAAACAAACGAGAAGGCATGTAGGTGTGACGACACCCACTTCATGAATTGCACAAAGATCCGAAGCTGACCGTTCAGATCTGCCGCACTAGTGTTTGCTGCAAGAGAGTTCTCCCGAAGGACATAGGCCGAAGGCCTTGCTTTAGTCTTTTTCTTAAAAGCACGAACATAGACCGGAGTCATAGTTCCTGTCGACAGTGCAAATGAAACGTAGAGCTCGAGCAAACTAGAAGCCTGTTCGTCAGGAACGTTGTCAATGAAACCAACGTGTTGGAACCATTGTAAAAACCTGTCCGTGAACTCTTTACCGAAAGGTGCATCGTCGCCGACATCGTCACCCAAGTAATGAAACGGATAAGTACACGGCTTTCGTGAGAAAAAATTGTCAAAAGTAGGTGTTGTCTGTGTAGTCGAATTGTGTTGGTTATCCGACTTTGCCATAGCTTTGGTCGTGGCTGTAACCCAAAACCTATGGAAGTCGTGAAGTCTCTGTGCCTGATGTTCAACATCCCCGGCAAGCTTTGTCAACTTGTTCAAAACACTCTTGTGGTCGTGCAGGATGACTTGCTTGGCAACCCTGTCAACAACGTCATTCCATCTTCCCGCCCACCTGACAAACGCAGAACTACTGGTTTGCCAGTCAACATGCGAGTCAACTTTGGTGATGTGTATCAGATTGGGTGGGCGTTGGAGGATGTGAACCCAAATGCACTGCCAAATATCCCAATGTTTGCATGGTACAATATGTGTGCCCAGGCGACGCGCCATGAGAAAGGATTGCAACAAGTCCACAACAGCAGAACAATCCGTGAAAAACTGTGGAGCCCATACACTCTGCAAGGCTAGCAAAATAGCCCACGCCTCTCCTCGGTAGGAACTGTGATCAGCCCCTGGGACCAAAGAGGCCTCCAATACTGAACAACAATCCCCGTCAACTGCAATAGCCGCCCCTGAGGAGATGGTGAATTGCGGTGTGTCTTGTAGGAAGGCCGACCCATCAGAAAAGACAGTACAAGGGCTTGCTTGAGGAGGCACTGAGAGTGCGGCCACTGGTCTGGCAACTGACACTTCACCTGCCACCCCTCCCAAGACGTTTCTGCAATGCCGAAATTCCAGAACGCTTCGGGCATCTGCCCCAAGGTTCTAAACAACACGTGATATTCTTTGCGCAACTCCTGAAGAGCACCACAATGAAACACTCTGTGCTGTTTGGAGTCGACTTCCCCACACAATGCACACTTGTCATCCTTGACATTTCGACTATAATGACAAAGGGCGTTGCGTGTAACATTTTTTCCAACAGCAAGTGCCAACAAGGAGCCTCGATCTCGCTCATCGAACTGGCGGAAAGATTTGTCGAAGATTGCTTGGTCAAAGGCCGCAATATCAAAACCCTTCCTATGGGCAAGTTGCACCAAAACTTGGTGAGTCCAAGCTGCATGCATGATGTGTCGAACATGTTTACAGGAGTCATTGATCCAATTGGCCTTCAATCCGGAGCTATGGCGAATAACACCCCCGGATAAACATTTCCAACCCACGCAAACCAGGGCCGCTTGTAGAATGGCTGCTGGACCGACACATCTCTGACCATCCAAAGTCAAACGTCGCAAGAATCCCGCGCGATCCCAAGGATGAAAACAGAAATATTTCCTCCAGAAGCGAAATTTGCGAAGGATATCAGCAAGTTGAGGATCGGTCAACTTGCCGCAAACACTTGTGGATAGCCAGGGGTTAGCCCCGGAGCGGTACCTACCCAAACATTGCACCATGGAGGTACGTATTGTTCGCCATTCAGCCTCCGTGCGGTTCACCAATGCCGCTCCATGTGCAATGACACCAGTTACAATGGTATTGGTCATCACCTTCTTGAACTGTTTAGGCAGCATCTTCCGGTGTGTCCGGTCGAGGGCCCGTTTGGTCTTTTGTAATCGTAATCGACTTTTAGTTTTGACCTTGGCCTTGCCATAGGAAACATCACAACCAAGGTCCGTGGCACGATGGTAGACAGCAACTGGGCGACCGTAAATGGCTGTATGTTGAATCTTCTGCCGACCTTTGGACGTGTTGGACCACACCCAACTCTTCTCAGGACTAATAGCCATTTGCAAAAAATCTGTGAACATCTCCAATCGCCTCGTGGCTGCTCGAAGAGTGTTGGATGTATTGCAAATAATTCCCCAATTGTCAGCAAAAAAGTTGGGTTCAACCTCGGGATGATGAAAAGTTAAATAGGATGACGCCCACACACTCAGCATAAGCATGACAGCAACGCTGAACGCACAGCCCTCGGAAAGCCACAGGTGGACCGAATAGGTTGTCCGATCTGGTGCGAAAGTTCGGCATATCTGGCCACATCGTCAAGCATACCTTCAAGGGCGCGAAGGTAAGCAACCGGAATACCCATCAACATCAGTGCCACTAACAACGGGATCCTCAGGATCCGGTTGAAGCATTTGACAAGGTCGACGACCAACCCGAACACTTCACAACCATCCTCTGTTGCTTCGTCAACCACGATCAATGTACGAGCAATAACCATGTCAGCACTCAATCCTGATGCCGCCCCTGAAACTCCACTGTGAACAACCGAAACAAGCTGGCTGATGACCTCCTCGGAACGAAGTTTGGCCCAGCACCTGTACAACCGGCTCAAGATCGTGATAGGTCTACAGTCCAACGGTGACGTGGCGGGCGAATCGCCCTTGGACAACATCACAACCTTGGCAGAAGTTAACCTAGAGGGCCACTGACCTGTCAGTTCAATGGTGTCGAACATCCTGAACAACCAAGCTTTCAAGTCTGGAGGAAGAATCTTAAGCTCCGCCGGCGTAAAGGCATCGGCTCCCCGAGCGCTCCGCTTAGGAACTCGTTTAAGCATGTTATCCCAACGTTCATCTGTGAACTGCGTGGGCGAGAAGGCTTGGACATCAGGAAGGCACTCGAGTGTTTGAATGGCATCCTGCCAGTTTGCACGACTGTCATTTGGAGGCTCGCGGTTCCACAGCTCACCCCAAGAAGCAGAAATCATTTCCTGCATTTGACTGTTCTGAGCAGTGAGCACACGTTGAATCGCAACCAATGGCATACCTGCCTTGCACACCACAGGTGTCTGAAGAAACAATGTGCAACCCTCACGTCTCAAAATCAGTGATTGCTGTCCCTGGAAGATGATGGGTAGATTATCATCAAACTTGTCCGGAACAGCCTCAAGAATAATGGAGGAATTTCCGCATTTGCACCACCGTTGTCGAGCAACCGGGATTTGCAATTGAAAGGCCACGAATTCGACAGGTGGAACAGCCAAATCTTTTACCGTTTGGAAGGCCTGTCTTCCCCCGTTCGCAATATCTGCCAACAACTTGGTCCTGCGGGTCTTGTACCGAGTGGCGTTGGCTTCCTTAACCTTAAGGTCAACAACACCACGAAGAGCCACAGCAATCTCATTGACATTCGAGTCATTAGGGCAAGACCACGGGACAAACAAATGAAGAACATCGAAAGCCCACCAACAGAACCCACCCGGGAAACCCTTGGCCTCGTAGATGGCTTTCCACAGATCCTCAAGCTGCATCCATGCCCTGGTACACGGTCGGACCACCCATGCACGATATTGAGACTGAAAACTTCTCAAACGTCGCAATTGTTTGATCCACCTTCTCAAGGTATTACACGGCTGTGAAATAGGAAAGTGAATATCACCCTCCCGACCCAGGTGGAGTCTGGGCGCAGCTGGTTTTCTTACCACCGACAACGCTTTACGGCACTTGCCACGAAAGGTCGGAAGAAGTCTAACAAGGTTGCCGCACACATTAACTGCGCTGTTGGCAAGAACTTCTTCGCAAGCTAAACAAGAATGCTTCAACATGTGCTCGGTGTCTCCCTCAATCTGAGCCGAGTCAAAATGATGTAAATGCTTATTAATGTAACAAGCAGCGTGTTCTTGCATCAGGCCCGGATCAAAAATAAACCCATCAGTAGTTGTGGGCAGCTGCCAATGGATTTGAGGCATCAAAGTAGTCTGCCAGCGGAAATGAGCCTTAAGAATGGGATGGCAATTAAACAAAAACGGCTTAAAGGTTCTACACAAGGTGAGATGTTCTGCAAGCGTGCCGTTTACCAGAATAAAGGATCGTCTGGTGGAGCCTGAGGATGTTGGCTCAGGTGTCCAACCGAAACGAGATTCCGCCAGAACTGCACAGTCATGCCAACCTCTCGATCTCAGCCATTTCCAGACAGGATCATCTTCGATTTCAATGTTGAAGTCACCCACTATAGATGCCGGACCTTTGAAGCAATCAGCCCTACAGGCGGCCTCAGAGAACAAGGCATGAAACAAAGCCTCCGGATTTGCAAAGGAACCGCCTCTTACGGGCCCGTACAAACATGCACAGTAGGCAGCAACTTCAG